TGCCATTTGAAATGTGAAAAATTACTTTCTCTTATTCCAGCCTGCCTAGTTGCTCAACTAATTTTGAGCAAAAATACTGTTTAATGACTTAATGGTTGACTGTATGACTACTTCCCAACAGATCCTCTTTCCTGCAGTAGGTGCAAGCAAGGTCAAAACCTTTCACCAGCCTGCTGTGTCCTGGCTGTGCAGCCCAGAGGTCGGGGTGCCAAGGGACAGGAGAGTACTGGGACAGCCCAGCTCCACCTCAGCTGCCTCTGTGAGGGGCACGACAGGGACAGCCGCTCCCCAACACCCGGATGTGCTTCTGATGTCAGCTGGCAGCTGGGCAAGGCAGCATCTGAAGCCAGAAAGGAATGAATGTGAGAGATATGCTTCCATGTGTTCCTACAGGGACTCAGTCATTTAAACAAGCTAGCACTGCTCAGCATTTATCTTTAAATGGCATTTTAGGTTCCAGCTAGTATGAAAGGAGCTGTATGAAGTGCTCTTACTAGAATGCAAGTATCTGTTTATAAAATGAGTCAGTACTTGTAAGGGTGCAAAAATAAAAGACCTCAGAGCAGGTGAGGTATTCTCTCATCTGACAGAGAATTTAAGGCTGTACTGTGCTACAAACCAGAGCCATATGCCCCTTTCTTTAACGGTATGCAACATTTACATTTCCTCCTATAAAAAACCCTTAGCATATAGCATCTGAGTATTTTCAGGCCCCAATAAAGTGTTTTACGGATAAGAAGTGGCATAGCTCTGCTTGTAACAATGTCTTTAGACAGCATACAAAATCACCCTGTTCCACATGGCCATCTGTGATATGTTAATGCAAAAGTAAAAAAGAAAAAAGCAACTTCAAAAGATATGCCCTTGGATTTTTTTAATTTTCATTTCTTCTAATTTTTCACTGGGCATTTACTGAAAGTGCTGCAGTGAGATCAATGGAAAATAACTCCAAGTTTTAGCCTATAGTGGAAGTGAACATAAGGCTGTAAATAATTTTAAATGGATTTGAGATTATTTTTGTGAATTCTGTTATACAGCACTTGAATGCACCAGTTAATAGTATTTTGTGGGCACATGCAAGTTCAAAAAGCTGGTCAATAATTAAAATATATATAAGAAAAAGGCAAGCCTCTTAAGGCATTGATTTTCATGACTCACAGTGATATAGTAAGGTTATGGAAATTATGTATTAATGTAATTTATTCAAAAAGCTGGAGAGATACTTGTCTTTGCATTGGAGCTTTAAAGAAAAAGAAAAATCTACTGTTTACCTCTTATCTCCTTGCAAACATTTGTGACTCTGTATCTCTCTACTTATCTGGATATATTCTGTAACACAGTACTGACTAACTTGTAATCATAAAATCAATTCCTCCATGTGATATTATGCCTACTCAAGTTCCTTCATATTTCTCAGACTGCTTTTCTAGACTTCATTTTGTATTGTTATTTTGCAGATATAGGAGAAACTTAAAGTCACAACTATACATACATACATACATATATATATGTATATATATATACACATACACATACACACATATACATACATACATATATATATTTATGTAACATTTTCTTGTAGGGTCCTGTTCCTGTAATCCCCAAACCTGGAGAAACTGCCTGCATACTTTCAGGTGTCTGAACGTGGCTGATACCAAATGTTTGGATATGATGCTACAAAAATAGAAACTTCTGACTTTTTTTTAAACCTGCAAGCAGGCAAGAAAACCATTTAAAACTTTGTGTTGAATATATGAAGGGATATTTAAGTAGTCATAAAACAACCCTATGACATAAAAAATATTTTATTAGGACTTTATTTAAATTCTCTGAAGTTTCTTTCAATGAGGCAAATCCCATCCAGAGATTCGATTAATTTAATTCCTAGACATGAATTTGCTGAAACCAACAGATGTTCTTACTGAATAAAAACGTGAACAGCAATTGAACAAAAGCTCCAGGAGGTATCCCAGTGCTTATGGAGCCCCAGATCATCCTGTCACCTCCCAGCAGTTTTTAACTCTGCACACACTGAACTTCTCCAAAGCTGCTTTGCCATCAGCTGCTCCCCCAATGGCAGTGGAGGAAAATGAGGAGGCAGTTTTTGACTGAGGGAAAACTAAAAGTCACTGCTCTGCTCCTGGAGCTTGCAGGTGTGGCAAGGCTTAGGAGAAGATCCCTGCAGCATCCTGGGGCTGTGGGGAATCCATGAAAACAGGGAATGGGGGCCTCAGCCACACCTGAAGGCAAATAACAGGCAGTAAAACAAATATGACTCAAGTAAGTCTGAGGAGTAATTGTGTTTCTCTCTGAGTGTAAGGCAAGTGTGTTTCATACCAGTGCTTGCCTTCTCAGGTGCTGCCTTTGTTAATTAAAGAAATGCTTTATAATAGAATAGCTGTCACAGATGATATAATGCTATCACTTTGATATCTTAATTAAATTACACTGCAGGCTCTAAGTCCTTCAGGACACCTTCATTTCAGATGCTCTGTGTTTGTCAGTCACCATCACAAATAGAATTTTGTTTTGTTTTGTTTTTTAATACCTACACCTACAAATGCCTGGCTTTATTAGTTGAGTCTAGGCTAGCAGAGTAAAGGTAGCCATGGGATGATGGCTACAAGAGATTAGCCTGAGAAGGCAGATTTGCTGACATTCTGACTAGCTTTTATACAATAACGAATCTTATCACCCTGCAGGAGAGTTTAATGTAGGTTATAGAGTAATGGTGTTCAAATGTGGACTATGTACTGGATAGTCCACATTTTCCATTAAAAATCATAGATGTCAAAGAGTCTAAACTCAGTGTTTGTCATCCTGTTTCTTATTTGCAGCAGAGCAGCCAATTTTCAGCTTACACAATGATCCAAGGGGCATAACTGGGTTGAATGCCACAGGTCTGTGTAAAATGTTTGTAGTTCAATTACGTGAACAAGATTTATACAATGGTTGAAGCTAAGCAGAGGAAATAAATCTTTCTGCTGGCTGTCATTCTGTTGAATGTCTTAATTATTACTGTTTGTTTACATGTTGGTACTGCAGTGGCATAGCATGGAGTGGTGCAAGCCCACAGCTTGCTGAGGGCCATTGTCCAAACAGGGGTGAAGACAACCTCTGCCTGGAGGCATTGCCCATCTTGACAGCATTTTAATATCTCTCATTGTCAGTTTTATTATTTTGTTGATGGCCAGCTGCTCTTTTGTCACTATTACAGTGACAAGCTGTCAAGCATGTGCTGGTCTTAGCAAAGCTCAGGTGTTTGCTTGTTGCTGTGCCTTGGAGAAGGGGATGCAAAACAGCCCCATCCTACACTCCTGAGTAAATCCAAGTAGCAAAACTTCAGGAAGCAAAATAAGTATAAGAAGAAAATATATTCATATATACATATATGTATTTGGTGCTGTTACTCTGGCATTTGTGATGGACAAGTCCTTCATGTGTCACTCTTAACTCCCACTGAAGACTGTGGGAATCTTTGCACTGATTTAAATTGAAGCAGACTTGCTCCTAGATGCTCCAATTATGGAAACAGCAGCAAGAGCTTATGAGACAAAATTTTCTCACACTGGGAGAAAAAAATAATGAAGGGACACACTGTATTCGATGTGGGACACAGAACAAAATCAGTCTCTTAATGATTATTAGTTGTAAAGGTTAAAAAAATGACATTGCAACAAACAATGTGCCCTTTTAGTCACCTCAGATGAGGACTGATCTCCTACTGTGTTTCATTGTTTGGCATTATTTTATTACTGGGCTTAACTTGATGTACAATTAATTATTCCTTAATATATCTGCATTAAAAAAGTGCCAAACACCAATTATGAATGATGACATTTAAAATAATTCACCAAGTGAGTGTAATTAAGTTACAAATAGACTGTTCTGCAAATAGAACTGCTGCTCTGAGGGCAGGCTGCAGCATGCTGCCTGCATGGCATTAGCCAGGCAGGCACTCCCGGTGCATGTGTGCACTAGACTTGGGAAACAAAACTTTTCTGAACTGGTGAAATAACCAAGAATAATAATTACCTGTGAGTGTGATCTTGTAAGAAAATATACCATTCATCTATAAAGGCAATACCCCAGACTGCAGTGTCCTAAGTGATTTCATGCTTTGTATTTTTAAAATCATTCTTTAAAGGGCCATTGCAATATAAATCAACTGGTGAGAAGGCAGCAGGAAGGATTTGAGTTTTGAATCTGTAGTAGAGCAGTTGAGTAAGAAGGGTTGGGGAAGGCTTAATAATTTTTTCAGTGATTCAACACAAGCAAGTACTTGTAAGAACAATACATTTCCTTTCTTGCTGTACAGTTGCTTTTTCAGTTTTAGAAGAAACTCTTGTTTTTTAACACTCCTCCATGACAATACAGAAGTTACATGCACAGGATATTCTCTGTTGCATTCCTAAATTGCTCCAGAGTTTGAGGGAAGATAATCTCTAGCTTTCTGGATGGTATCAAGGGTGACTGAATAGAATTTCTGGGAAACTATAAATTTACTCTTTAGTGCTGTGAAAATATAGATAATCTGGACTATAGTGTTTTTATATTCTTATGTTTAATGAAATGCTATGGGAAATCTGTGTAAATAAGGATAAAGTGGGAATAACTCTTCTGACTTTGTTAAAGCTGCAACAGACAACAAAATTAGGAAATTAGATCTTGTAACATGTAATAAGTTCCCTGCAGTACCTGTAATCAAAATCAAATTTCTCTTAAAAATACATTACGATTTTAGAAGCTGAATATTTTGATATTTGAACATGTGTAATAAATTATATTTTGGATGCTTGACCAATTGCAACTGATGCTGGCACAATTTTCGGGATTTTTACTTTTCAAGTGCCCAGGATGGGTAACTGCTGCAGAAGTGGAAGTTTCAGGGACAGAGGAGCCGTGGTTGGGCCATGCTTTTCACAGGCGGCATTTGCTGACACATGCTGTTGATAATCTTCTGGCCAGAGAATTAAATGTGAATTCTTTATTTACAGCTCAGAGCCTTTGCTCCCCAAAGCAGTGAAGTTACTGCAGCTGTACCTGAGAGCTGACTGTGTGAGCTGCAAGTGCCACTGCACAATGGGATCAGTGACCGCAGGGTCACAGCAGTGATCCGTTCCAGGGCACTGCAGCCCCTCCTCCTGCATTTCCACAGGTAGGCTTGGGCTGTGTCCTTGGTCACGAAGGAAGTTTGAAAAGAAAGTGGGGGGGAGCAGAGGGGGAGGAAAGTGCACAACTAAATTTTGAAAAAACTTAGTGACAACTGCCAGTAACACCAGGTAAAACTGAAACAGAGAGGTGGAAATGGTATGGAACAGGAAAGGAGGGGTGTAAAGCACTGAGATCATCAGAAAAAAACATGCAAATGCCAATTGAAGTTTAAAAAGACAGCCTTTTGTCACTGTTTTCTTCTTCTTTAGTTCTCAATTATTTCAGGTCGTTCCCCTGAATATATGTCATGGTTTAAGCCAGCTGGCCACCAAGACCTGTGGAGCTGCTCACTCAATCCCCCTGCAGAAGACTGGGGGGAGAGTTGGAAGGGTAAAAGCCAGAAAATTTGTGGGTTGAGATAAAAGTTTATGGGGAAGGTGAAAGCCATGCACACAAGCAATGCAAAACAAGGAATTCACTTGCTTCTTCCCATGGGCAGGCATTCCTGCCCTTTTTTTCTTTAAATCTGTGGTAACACACTCTAAACTGCTGAACTACATTCATGCATATAAAAATTACACCTTCATTTTGCTGGCTATGAGGCAAACAATTGAGTGTCCAGTCTGAAGGCAGTGGAGGAATTTTGTACACAAGAAGAAAAGCAAAAGGAAATAAAAGGTTGCTGTCTTAAGATGGGTAAAGAAAATGGGATGTTAAAGGGCTAGATTACAAAAAAGTGGGCTATCATTAGGTAATTTTCCCTACTGCCTGATTTCCTTTTGCTCCTCTATCTTAGTCAGATTATGCTAAATAATAGACATTATGCTAAATGACAAAACAAATGGTAAAGACCAGCACAAGAACTTCTCATGTAGAAGTGCCAGAAGTGCAACTTTGTAAAGTTGTATTTTTTCCCTTTTTCCCCAATAGTCTAAAGATGCTCTTACGAAGAGTATATGCTTGTGAAGAAAAGTGGGCTTCTAATGGAACTAAACCATAATTTATTTTTATGGCTTGCGATGTTAAGTAATTTTACTTAACATGCCATTTTTGAAACTAAATGCATGACAGAAGGAAAAGCATGAGACACAGCAAATGCATGAAGGAAGATTTATACTGAAAAATAAACTGCTGCTCTGGTTCACTGACACCACATTCCTCCAGCGTTAGGCAACTCTTGCAGGTGAGTCTCCTACAGTGTTTGACAAATACGTCTACTTCTTAACGTGCTTCTAAAATATTTTTTTTTCAGATGAGGGAAAGAGGTCACAGCTTAACACTAATTGAGTTATTGAATGGACCAGTGTGAGAGTCTGCACTGACCACTGCATGGAGAGGTATTGCAGCACAGCATTTTGTCTGCCGGATGCAGAGATTTAGCAGCAAGTCAAAAACTCCTTAACTATCTGTTTGGTGTTACTGTGTCACATCCATCATCACCACATCTACTACCCTTTACTTGACAGTTTATCTCATTATAGCAGCTAAAAGGAAAAGGGTCCTCTGAACCCTTTCTGACTGTGGCTGCTACTGGCTCCACCAGGAAAACAATTAGGAAACAAAGCCGCTATTGGCAACACTACCATCTTAAATGCTTGCTAAGATCTTTTATCAGGCTCTAGTGATTATTTTTAAGTTTAAAAAATTTTTTTTCTGCTTTATTAGCCTACAATTAAAGTGAATTATATGAATGAACAAAGACAAACTTCATGTCTGCTGCAAAGTTATATACAGCCTTATAGATTATTCCTATTTTTTAAGCATTGCTTGGCAAGGCAATTTTAAAAACCTATTTAGAGCATGTACGATTGCTGAATGTTTTACTTTTTGTCTTCTTTTCAGTACCTCATAATTTTATTGCTGCAAACAGCAGTATGTGATCATGTGTTTGGACAAAAAAAGATGATCAGCAGGAAATATGACCTGTGAGTCTATCTGGTTAATAAACATATTTCAGGAGAGGTACAGGAGATAAATGAAAACCTAATGGTTCCTGCCTTTATCCTTAGCCAGACTCAAGGATGTCTCCTAATTTGACTTGAACATATTTTTGAATTCCATTAAAGCTAGTGTTCCTAAAAATACCTGTAAAATCATTTCGATACTAATTGGAACATTGTGTTTTTTCTGCAGGAAGCTTCATATTCCTACTTCTGCCTCAAACCAGCCAATTTCTAGGAGAAACATCATGCAAGTAATTGCATTTGCCTGCAAAGCCTGGGTCACTCTGTTGCCAAATGATGAGATTCAAGGCCTAGAAACTGGGATCTTTGCAAATTGCGTGCCAGCTACAGCCAGGATTCGGGTGGGCTCTTTTGCAAACCATTTGTCTCATCTAAACAAATCTGCCAGTTGTCATTTTCCTGTAAGTTTTTAAATTTCTTTTCTCTTACTTCAATTATGAGAGGTACATCACTACTGAGGGCCATGTTGCTATCTCTACACTGAGGCATTTTAAAGTAAATGCTTGTTTTATACATCTTCTGCTTTCTAACCTGGTTTACATAAATTACTGCTACTACATTATTACATACATTAATGCAGATGTATGTCATGGCTTCTTGATGTGGCAGGTGCAGGTATCCTCACTTCTCAGGGGCCCTGCCTTGCCTCAGTATGTTTGCAAACATTGAAGCCTTAAAGATGTTTTCCCCACAGAAGCCACAAGGTAAATGCAACAAGTAATCAATCTTTGGAACAACAATCAGGAAATCTCCTAATGAGCATCCTACACAAATGCAATAATTAATCTAAGCTGTGACCTGAATGGCAATGAATACAGTCAGCCTGAAATGGTGGTCATACTGTACTCATGTTTTTGGCTTTCACAAATAGTCTGTTATATGCAATACAAACACATTGGGCTGTTTTGAATACTAATTTCAGGAGGGGAATGTGACAAGGGGTGCATGCAGATCAGGTTGTCTGTTCTTACATGTTCAGAGTAAGGCAAAACACAATGTCAATGTCAAAGCAGAACAGGAAGGATATAATACACTCAGAAACCAAAAAACCCCAAGCCATCAAACCTATAGCACAAACCACACAGCAAACCCAGTCCTTTAACCACAAAGCCTCAGACAAGCAATCGAACGAGGGCTGTGAGCAATAAGTGGTGGAGAAAGAGAAGTGTTTGGCACAGGTTCAAATTAGGCAGTGTAAGCTCTCCTTTATTAATTAGGAGGACATGTAATTTGAAAATTGCAGGCTGATCTTCAGCCAGTGTAAGTCAGCCTAGTGCCATCTTGCTCAGTCCAGTTAAAGACAGTAATGCAATTTTTCTGAGACAATACATTTTTTAATCTGAATTAGTAAGTAACACATCAGGAGTCTACAAAATGAATGTGTTTCTTCTTCACCTGGCATCAGCATTGGGCATTAGAAGCAGGTGGGCAGGTTTCAGGCCCCAGTGAGCAGGCTGGAGGCCGTTGTGCACAGTAATGTTTCCAGGGCAGCACAGCAGAAGTGTTTTTAAATAAAAGCAAAAGCATTTCCCTAAGGATTAGCATAATGCATCTTCTAACAGACACCTCTAACAATCTTTTCTTTTACACAGATTTTCTCTTTTTAAATCCACCTACTATAATTAACCTAGGAAATGCCTAAAGAAATGCCACCAAAAAGAAATTTCTCCTTGACAAATACAGGTAATCCTTACTGATTTTCACTATCAGACATGTAAAGATGGGATTTGTTAATTTATATATTCACTGTTTATCTGTTTAGTTTGGCTGTCATTCCAAAATGATGCGGGGTTAAAAAAAAGTAATTCCTTGTACTTCTTCTAGTGGTAGCTCACTAGGTGAGATTGGGTGGATGCTCGCTAGGGACTGGTGAGAAATGCTCATCATGGCATCTTTCTCAAATGACACTGAAATTGTCTTGTGAATCATTTCCATCACCTAAATTTAACTGTGTGTTAAGCTATTGTACCAGGTCCATGAAAAGGTAGGGCTGACCAAAGGATGAAAAAGTCTGACAGGTAACTATTGAGCAATTACATGTCAAGAAGAAAATTAATTGTTAATAATAACCTCGCTTACTCACAAAGAAGGAGCATGAGGAGCAAACTGAAAAACTGTAAATTTCACGCAGAAGAAAATTTCTACCAACAATGATTTCTGTATCTAGCAAATACAACTTTTTAAAAATGTTGACACAAAACACTTTTAATTGTTTCAGGTTTTTGGAGGAGGAAAGAAAAAAGAAAGTGGGATACAGAAAAGGACTGGCAGTTCTAGACAGACCATGACTTCTATCTGTGAGATTTTCATAGTTGAGAATAATAAACCTGAGGTTTTATTTCAATAGATAACATCGGCTATTAAAAACCAAATAAACCAGATCTACAGACTATCTCTCACCAGTACAGCTGCTCAGGTATACATGAGTAGATGAAATATGTTACGGGTATCCCTGCTGAAATGTAAAATGCAAGTGCTGAGAAGCTAACCAAGCTGTATGAAAGCATACCAGCTGGGCTGAGACGGCAAAGGAGGAAGGTCAGGAACTCTGAAAAGAAGAAGGATCAATACCAAAGTCTTGAGAGGAATACATTCAAGTCCTACAGAGAAAAAGAAAACTACCTTAGGTGAATTGTCAGAAGCAGCTGCCTGTTCAAAAAATAATGGTGCTTGCTCTTTTGCTCAAGTTTCTTTTTCTTTTTTTTTTCCTTCTTTTCCTTTTCTTCTCTGCATTCCTGCATGATAACAGAAAAAAAATGGTGCCTCTATGTGCTATTGCAAAAATGTTGAAATCTAGCAAGTGGAAAAAGGCTAGAAAAATAAAAGATTAAAAGTGTTAAAGTATATTCAGCAGCCAAGAAGCTAACCCAAAACCACAGGTAACAAATTCATGCAGATGTCAACTTAAAGTTCAGATGGATCAGCATTTCAAGTGAATATTCTGCTGGGCTTTTAAAGAGAAAGGTAAGAAAGAAGGTGATAAAACTGGAAGTATTTTTTCAAGCTTTCTTTGGCCGTGCAGTCTTCTCTGTAGTTCTGCATAATGGAAGAGATATTCAAATAATCTAGTTTTTTGAGGGTTTTTTCCCTGCAAATTTCTCAACTAGAACTGGTTTATTAAATAATGGAAATTAGTGAGAAACCTCACTAACTAAAACACGAGTTCCTTTCCCTAGACATGGCATCAATGGAGAGCTTTAGTACCAATCCTGGGCTAGGGGTAAGGTGCAGGAGGAATAAGAGGAAGCACAGTGCTCAACCCGTCTCATCCCCTGCTCTCACATCACTCCATCTTTCCTGAGGCTCAGATTTTGATAACCCTTGCTACGGTAGGAGTTGAAAAATACTAATAGAGAGAGAAAATAAGAGCAAACTTGTACCAATACTGCTAAAGCTACTGATGTTAGTCTGGATTTAACTGGTGCAAATGGGAGTACAGCATGGATGTAATCAGCTGAAGAATAAGAATTACTGTGCAAAAGGCAACATTGCATAAACTTAAGATCTATAAAGTCTCTTAGTTCTAAGGGACTTTGTGTTTTTAACTTAGTTACAGCTATGATGTGCAATGAGATATGATGCATGCTAAAGACCTTGGCTATCAATTAGTAGCAATAGACAGGAATGAAAGATGAATATCTAATGTTTGACTGATTCAGTCTCCAGTGAGAGTGGCTGGGTATTTTAAATGCGTGCCTGCATTTCTGGGGAAGATACAGTGAGCGGCTTGATGCCCACAGCAGTTGGCACCAAACAGTTGGCAGCTTCTTCATCTGCCTCTCAGGAGGGTGAGAGGGTTTACACCAGGGTTTGGTTTCATGTTTAAACCTGCCATGGAGAATGACACTGATGATCAGCGAAGAGACAGTCAGCAAAGGCACCCATGTCAGGCACAGTCAGAGAAATGTTGTCTGTGCAGTTCGAGTGACTGCTCAGAAATAGGTTAAACCTCCTGAGGCATGGTCACCATGGATTCCATGGGGCTTGGGGGGCTGTGTGCTCGCTTGCACAGGCAGGAGCCTGCCCTCACCACCTGCCACAGACAGGAGCACAGTGAGCAGGGCTGCTCTCCATCCCCACTCTCTCAAGCTCCTCTGTTCAGAGATAAAATTATGTCTAAGGGGGCTTAATGCTCTGAGTGTGTGAATGCCTGTGTGTATCACAGACCTGTGATAATCTAAAGCCTCAGGTATTTAGACGTCCTTTTAAAAGAATAGCCCAAATAATGTTTAAACACCTGAAATGGAGACCAATGAAATTCTTCTACAATAGACTTTTTTAAGACACGCTTCATTACAAAAAGCCAGTAGGATCATGTTCCTCATAAGGGCAGCAGCAGCTAAAACATACAGTGCAAACAGATCTATTATTTACTATCCACCTAAAGCTTTATCAGTGCCAGCAGGGAGCCAGACTGAATCTTATCAGCAAAGCTGCTTTGACATCAAGCTGCTTTCCTCCCAGAGAGTTTTCCTGGATTCTCCAGGCCCTGCAATGAGAACTGGAGAAACATGCAGGACAGTGTACAAGCAAACAAGGCTACAGAAGCAGCCTGTGCTAAGCATTGTACACTCTAAACCTCTTGCCAACAGCTGTGAAATTATTCTTTTTTCAGATCTGAAAAAAAAGAAGAAATAATCACAGTTTTATTTTTTCCTCAAAAAGTCCCAGAAACAGTGATAGGACTTTTAGGGAAATGCTACAGAAAATGGGAGAGATTTTAATGGGTCCTTTGAAACAATGAATCAGTGGGGGAAATGTGTTTTCTTACATAATCCATCACCCTGATAAAATTTGCACTTGCTCTGTTAGGGAGTAAACTGGCTATAAACTGTTCTATGCTGGGAGAGCAGCACGGTGCGTGCTGCAGTCGCAACGAGGACACACAACTTGGGGATATTTTGAGCTGAGTGATTTACATAAGCAAAGAGCCTGATCCTGTGCATGCAGGACTATGGAGCAATGGAGCAAGCAGGGAAGCAAAAGAAGGAATCACCTAACTTCCATGCATTCCCTTGACTATGGTATCCAAAAGAAATGATAGGAAGAAAATCTGGCTGTGGCACGGCTGGCATGGGGCTGGCTGGGGCATGCACTCTGCTTTTCTGCCTGCTGGTCAAGTAGAAGGCTCTGATGGTTGTGAAGATGAAAACTTTTCATTTGTTCTTCTCTGACAGTCTCACACCTTTTGTGAGAAGTTTTGAGAACTGTGTATCAGCGTTGAGGATTTTTAAGCATGGTCTGTGGAATTTGGAGGCAGTCAGCAGAAACAGCAAAGGCAACCAGAGCAGGATTAATGCAGATTGTCTTGGACTGCAGATAAAAATCATACAATTGCACTGACACCTGAAGAGTTATGCTTGTAAAATACCTAAATATTACAGGTACAGAGCATCAACCAATCTAAAAATTACTAAAGCCCATACAAATATAAAGTTTTCTATACAGTCTTATAGCTGTCATCTTTCAACCAGAGTCCTCTGGGAATCAGAAATACTTCATGCTTTGAAAATCTTTATGAATCCACTATGGAAAGGAATTATGCACAGCAGTATGTCTAGAAAAAAACCTCTAAACCACTGTTTTTTTTAAATGCTCACAAAACTAATAATTCAGGGTAATTAAACTCAAAATCATTGCCTTTTTAACCTTACAGTGACATTATTAAACAAAGAAGCAAAACAGCTCTCAGATTTATCTTTGCTTGATCATCTGAGTTTTAGCCGATTATTGTGAAAGATGAAACCCCCCAAATTACCACCAGCATAAAATGAAAATAATAGAGGATTTTTTCCCTCTGCTTTCTCATCCCTTCATCATCCCTCCACTGGACAGCACTGTGGATTTAGTTCATATCATTGTGGTTTGCCACAGGTTAGGTCAGGCTGCTTCTCTTGCACAGGGTGTCAGAAACAAACACATCAGAAAAGAACACAGGGGAAAAAATGCTCGACAGTAAGAGTGAGGAAAATTGCTGGGAGCGTTAGGCAGGCATCACAGCTGAAATAATTTCTGCCTATTTAAAAAGATAATGTTTCAATTTGGTACTGTCGCTTCAAAACAAACATCTCCTTGAAGAAAATAGTCATTTATTGTAAGACTAGTCTTGAAGCTTGTTTAGATGTTCCCTTTTCAGAACAAGAGTAACTCACAGCAGAGAGATACATTGAAAAGTGTGTATTTTGTCAGCAGTAAATAGTAGTAAATACAATCCTGCTCTTTCCATCCTGCCATTTATATAGTGAAGCTGGCTGGGATGCCAGCTCTTCTGTCCAAGAATACATTAGCAATTCATCAAAAGAGCAAATGTCGTTATACATGGGAAGCACAGGGAATTATTTTGCATTTGATTTCCAGCTCTGATAGCATCATTATTGATTTAAATATTCTCCTGCATAACATGCACTAGACACAAAGGATCATTGTATTTTTGAACTTCCAATCACAGTCATCCTGAGTTGCCCGAATACTGATGGCTTTAATACAAATGAGCACACAAACCCCTTAGGCCGGACTTCTGGCCTGCTCACTGATGAAGTTCAACAGAAGCTGCCAGACTAAAGCATGGTTTCTGAAATATTGAAGAATGCAACCCTAAAACAGCTGTATGAGTATACTCTATACCCACAAAGCCAGGCATGAATCCTTTAGGGCAAAAATCTGGTTTAGGTAGAAGTAGTGAGAAAATGAGTAGAAAACGAAGAAGGAAACATTTCCTTGTGTTGCCTGTCTTAAGTAAATAATGGCACGGTGAGGCTGGCACAGTGAGGCTGTGTAATCACAGCTCAGCCTCCCCAGGTGACAGAGCCTGGGCCTCCCTGTGAGTACAAGGCTCTACCACCACCCTTAGAAACACCCATTTTAAGGAGAAAGATAGGAAAAGACCAACCTGATAGAGATGAGGTGTGATAGTTTTTCTCTAAGTGAAAAGGCTTTTTACTGTATTCCTTGAAAATGCAACTTTCTGATTTATGTAAAGCACAATACTATCTGGCTGCAATGCTGGCTGTACAATGGGAAATTATGCACGTGTTGGAACTCCTGGGTTCTAAGAAAGGTGTTTCTTTGTATGTTCCTGACAGACATCATGTGTCAGACCACAACTGAAAGGACCGTGATGATGGGTGCCTACGGTACATGGCCAAGGCCTCTTCAATAACCTCCCAAGCTGCATTAGGAAACTTATAGTGCTCCAGAAAACAAGGACTCACGGACAGCCTTTGGTCCTCTTGAAGAACAAACATTAAGTCATCACCTGAATGTGAAAGAGACTTGGCAGGAGACTGGGGCACAAACCAGTTCTGGCAAAGGTTTGCAAGATGTCCAGAAGAAAGATGGGGAGTTGTTTCTGCAGCTAGTGAGACACTATGTTTTGCCATGGGTGGAACAGGCAGGACTACAGCTTCCAGTAATTTACGGCTGTGTATGGATTTAAATCAACAGGAAGAAACCAGGAAAAGGAAACAAAAAGACCTATGACTCCATGTGGCCATATCTGAGAGGACTAGCTGGGATATTCCCATAAGGCCAAGATAAAAAAGTGAGGGTGAGAACTTGGTATAAGAAAGCACAAGTTTACTATTCCTTGGTTACTCTGCTTGTAACTAGTATTGGATACAGTGGAGAACTGGTACTGAAGGAATTTGAACCCTCCCTCTGTTTCCAAAAGGCAAACAAACACACAAAAAAAAAAAACCCAGAGAAGGGCTTTGTTTAGATAAATGCACCCATCCAAAACCAAGAGACATGAAGTGCTGCTGGGCTCAGACATGATGACACTTCCAGCTCACAGAGGGCTTTGACATCTGCTCCCCAGTGACTCAGGCTGAGAGATGAATTCATGGCCCCTCCCTAGAGGTCACAGACCCACAGCAGTTGGCAGCTGAGACTGGCTGTTCATGTCAGCACAGGATTCATCAGCTCTGCTGACTGCCCTGCTGGCTGCGGTTTAGAGCTAAACCAGGAGACCTCAGGGCTGAAGCAGAGGGGGAGTCATCTGTGGCCTCTGCTGAGGGAAAATGGGCAACAACCCCAGCAGGCAGAGGAGGACACTGCAGCACAGGACAATCTATCTTCAGCCATGTGGTGCACTTGTTGAATGAGGATTAAAAGACACTTGGAACATGAGACTCTGTGAAACTAGAAAACCTTCAGAGATGGTGGCCCATAGAGAGAACAATAATGACAAATAAGATTACCACCTTTCTTCCAGATGCTTCACTAGATTAGCATCTGCTTTATTGAAATGTGTGTCTAGCTTCAGTCTCCACTCCTGGAAGTGATGGAGCCAGTCGGACTTTTATCAGCAACAAGAGAGGACTGTGGTGCCAAGACAAGAGAAGACAGGACATGTACACCCATTCATACTGCAGCTTTCCAGACCCTGCTGGCACAGCTCAGCTTTGTCACATTTAGTCACAGACAGGTTACAATTATTTTCTGTTTTCTTTTTTTCTCACTTAGCAAATTGCACTGGAAAAGTTTAGTTATCAGAACTAACTCATTTCTGCCACACTGGTAATGACATACATAACTGCCTACATGCTATATAAAAATTCAGTGATCCCATACCTAGAAAAACACATGTATGTGGGCTAGGGAAAGAGTGGGATGAGGACAGGTACAAACAGCATGATCTGGTTAGCTTGACTGAATGTTAAGCTTCAGTGTCTTATTCCAAGCTACCTACTTATTTAGAGGTTTGGATTTTTGATCATACAACTTTTCTATAAAATTAATACTTTTTTTAAAATAAAGTTTCCTCTGTTGAGAAAGCATCAGAACACACTCCAGATATCCAAGGATGACAGTGGATTTGCTCTGCTTGATTTATTTATTGAAGTTTTATCCACCTACATCTTTCTCAGGTGCTACCATTCTGCTTCCAGTTTCACATTTTAAAAGGAGTATTATCTTTCTAAAAAGAGGCATTCTTCAAATCCTGTGTAATCTCCACACTAGACTATTACTTCTAAAAATATGTCTAAAAATGCAGTGCACGAATATATTTTCATCATATAAAAATACAGTGCTGATGGAGTGCTCCACTCCCAATTAATTAAAGTGTGAGTATTGTAACATGCATTTATTTTTTTTCAATTCCATTTTTTCATTTTTTTAGGTTGACTTCTTTTGAGAGTCATGGTGAAAACTTTGCCTCACCATGGACTCAACTTTCAGAAGCAAGGTGATAATTAGGCATGAATGATTCTTCTGTTTGAAAACCTCCACAAATGTACCCAATTAAGGTTGGTAATGGTGGTTGTTAACTAAGAGCTTAAGTAGGCATGTCAAGGGCAGTCAGTAGATACTGGTACTGTCTGGAAGGCTCTGATGGCTTCTAGTCAGTCCTGAGCAAGGTAAGTTTCAAATTACTTGAATAGGACTTGAGGTTTTTATTCAGCTTTTTTTTTTTTTTTTTTTAATGGATAGTGTTTCATGGGCAGCCAGTAACATTACTTTTTATGCTGTGGTTACCTATTGAAAGTGTTGTGTGCTAACCTCTGCTGTGTGTTACTGTGTCTGTTCTGGCTGGAAGGGCTCTCAGCAAGTGGTGATTGTCAGAGGACGATGCTGGCAGGAAAGAAATGGATTGACTGATGTTGAGTCTCTGCTGGCGCTGGTGCTACTGCCATGGATGTGCTCTGGAGCTCCTCAGTGGCAGTGCTGTGTCTCAGTTGTGCAGTAATGTTGGTTCTCAAGTTCTCAAAGCTCAAGGCTTGTGAGGTTGTGTGCAGAGCCCTCTTGGCTCACCAGGGAAAGCTGCAGCACTTCAGGAAACACAAAAGGCAAGCCTGGGGCAGCTGCAGTAGTGTGTCCAAGGTGCTGGAGTATCCACCACCAGAATAGCTCTTTCTTTCCTAATTTAAAATTTGATATGTACTGTGAAAGAAAAAAATCCTTCAAGCAATATGTGTTTAATGCCTTGTTAGTGAGGGACTTTAAATAAGTTGACGTAAAAAAGGACTCTCTATTAATCCAAGGTTACCCTACTTCACAAAAGAGCTAAGAAACTGCACTTGGTGTCAGATGCTCTGAAAGCACCTGGCTGCCATGCAAACTGTTTTCCAAGAAATTAAAAGCATACAACCCCTCCAATAAGTGATGGAAAATATCAATTGTCAGAAACTTCCCAGAAAAGTTTCTTCCTTGATAAATTTGAGAATCTTCACGTTGTATTTTGCTTAATGCTGATTTCAAAGTATCTTACCTTAAGCTCTGAGGGGTTTGGTGCCTACTGAACGTTTTGTAAAGTATTTTCTGTGGTAAACCAAAGTTCTTTCATGTCTATAAAAGAACTTAAGACAGCACTGTGTGTATGAAGCAGAAACTTCCATGGGAAAAAAATGTCGTAACATTAAGATGCAAAAAGAATAGGATAAAAACACTGGAAATACTGAGATGTCACTCCATAAATCATTGTTGTACCCTCTCTTAAAATATAATTTTGTTTGCCTCACCTGACACAGGACATTGCAGAAATAGAAAAGACTCAAGATCATGTGATAGAAATTAAATGTCTGGACTGACTGCCACAGGAGAAAAAATGAGAGCATGTTTAGGGAGAACAGTGTGACTTGCACAAAAGTACTAAATGAGGGGCTCTATTTGTTATTTAACCTAATGAAATGAGGTAAATCAGTGGAACAGGCAATATATTTTTAATTAATTACTGATGGAGCTTAATCCTATGATGTTTAACTGAATGCCTGGGCAATGCAAAGAAGGTAAAAAATGTGATGCAGAAACGCATCAGCACCATTTAGGTCAAGGTAGATTCTGGACTTATGTTGGTTGTAGCAGAAGCAGTACTGAAATAGAATAAAATGGCTATTTAAAACCTGAAAAGAAAAAAACCAACAACCAACTGCTTCAAACCCCATCTTCAACCCTCAAAAGGTCAAATTCAGCCCCAGAACAGCAGGTACAAAGTATACACAAGTTGAATTTGGTGCTAGAAGTGTATGACTTTATCCTTCATCTCCAAGGTTTTACTGTATTTTAAAAAAAAATTGTTAAAAGCTTGGACTGTGTTGTTATTCTCAGCACAGTCCCATAGGCTTTAATGTGACTATCATATTTTATTTGTGCATTTTAGTCAAATGCATTAGTCATGTATCAGAGATGACCTTGTAAGGGATAATGTTGAAAGCAGGAGAATATTATATTATGAAAAGTAATTTAATTAAAATGATAAAAGTTAATAAAGACAGAGCATTAAATAAAAAACAAGCTCAGGGAAGGCACCAACTCTAAATGGAAATAGGCAGTGAGTATTGTCATTCTGATGTATTTTTGCTCTAAGTATGTCCATTGTTATGGGTATTTGCAAGTGAACGTAGTTAGCATGTTCCACATTGTCGAATACAGGATAATCTACACACGAACTCTTTTTCTTGCAATATTAAAAAAAAATTTAAAATGCCCATTAGAAAATACTTAATAGCAACTGCAGAATACAAACCAACTGAAAAAGGAAACAAAAATAAGAAATGACCACTTTTCCTGAGAAGGCATGGTGGACTTGGTTGTCTGTCTGCATCAGTGCTGCAGGACTGGGAGGGACAATGCAAAGCTTGCTGTAGAATGCAGGCTCTAGCCTGTTCCCTTGGCTGTGGGATGGAAAACAGCTTTCACGTGCTGGGGATGGTACTGGAGGTGCAGAGCAGCTGTGGCTGTTTATGATGCTGAGCAGAGCCAAGGGGAGCGCAGGGTTAGCAGGGCTCTTGCACCGCCCTGCAGGAGGGGCAGTGGCAGCGCTGTTTGTCCCAGGGGTCACCTTCTCTGTCCAGGTTGGCCGAACCAGGCTGGCCCTGCTCTCCTACCAGAGATGTGGGGTTGTGCCTGTGCCCAGAGAGCATCTGCTCCTCCCCTAGGCAGAGCTGTGTACACAGGATACAAGCAGGATGCGGAGGTTGTGTTTTTCTACTGGAAGCCCAAAGAGAGGAGCCAAGAGGTGTATTTATATCCACTGCCAAAGCAGAGAAAGAAAATGTACAAAATTCTGGTCCTAACTTACATTAAAAACTTAGAAAATGCCATCATTACAGTCTTATGTACAATATGGCCTGAGGATGTGACCGTGCCAATTTGCACATCCTCAGGAAAACCAGTGATTATCTCAACATGGTTAGAAGAAAAACTCCTGACAAAATAGAAATAGAATGAAAAAACTCGATAACACAAACACCACCAACACATATGAATCTGATTAAATGCTGCCCTCACTGAGGAGAACAGTGCTTTATGTTCAGAAGATGTGCTATGCCCTGAATGAACACTCGAGCTATTTAATCCAAATATGGTTAAAATGAAAATTGTGTTACCCCTTTTTAGCCTAAATGGTGGGCAGAGCTTGGCACAGGGAGGCTGCCTTTGGAAACGTGCCGGTGGCGTGTCAGTGCCGCTCTGCAGCGATGATGTGATTGCGATTAACGAGCGGCACTGTGAGGGGGATGCTGACTGTAAAGAGCAATCCCATCACCTGACAATGGCTCTGCGATGAAATCTCTTACACAGATTAAAGAGGGAAGGGCAATAACTCATCAGAAAAAGCAGAACTGTCTGCTTAATTACTTGAAAAATGTCTGAGCCACTACCTTTTATGACACCTGGTGGGTATAAACATGTCCACGGTTTTAATTAATTTTCCCTCTTCTTTCATTGCACCTGTATAGCCTGGAGAAATGCAATTCCAATGAAATTACAATTGCGCATTTCTATATGAGTTTGAAACACACTTTGGCAATAACCAAAAAATGAGGCATTTCCATGGATTTAATTAGAGACAGGAAGTGTACTGGGAAAAATACTTCCCAACAATTATAATTTTTCCAAATCAAGCCACAGTGCAAATTGCCTTCTCTTAATTCATAAAACTTAGCTTTTAGGTGTCCATTTTAATTTAAAAAGATAATGGAGGAGGCTTTTCTCTGGAGTGAAGTAGAGTTATGGTGAAAATCCATCTTGGCATTTTGAAAGCAGCAACAGCATAAGCTCATACTTTTGACCTTGCAGTCCTGCTAGTCTCATTTAAAATTGATGAGTGAGACCCTTGAATTTGTTCTGCTGAAAACAACACTTTTTATAATGACTTTTATAAACATACCACTAATTGTGGTGAAATGCCAGCTCTGCAGAAAAATGAAAGGAGCAGAGGTCTCTCTTCCCCCCCCCCCTTTTTTTTTTTTTTTTTTTTTTTGAGGCAGGAACAGGTTTGCTTCCATTCTTTGGGGACACGAACCACTGACTTGTCAAGCACAGCCTGACAAGCAAAGCTTAAGCAAAGATACCTTGTATGTTCCTTCTTTCATATCACTCTAGGGAAGTCATGGTTATGCTGGTCTAAAGCAGACAAAATTGAGATAAAACCCTAAATACAAATTCTGCATAGAAATCAAGTGTTCCCTAAAACTCACAATTACTCAGACACAACAGGTAACCCTTCTAGAGCTGAAGTCTTTCACTCCTTTCCTGCATTAGTCTGTGAATTTGTAAAGAAAGCAATTGCTTTAGAGGTTGTAATGGTTTTAGTGGATGAAATCGGGACAAATTAAGGACGCAGAGTAAATAGTGGGGGAAGCAGAATCCAAAATGTGCAGGAATAGTGCAGTCACAGCAATACAGTATTGACATTTCTATCAATCCTCAAGCTTCACTGCCTGGGAGTTTGGGTTGGTGTAGGACCAGCGCTTGGGCAGTAGCCAGGATCTGCAGTGTTCCACAGCACTGCTGATGAATACAATGATGGCCTCTGGCATGGCTAATGCTGACCAGAACATTTTCCATGGGCCCTAGCAATAAAAACACAAACCTTCTGAGCTGCTGAGGAATGCTTGAAGCTCACCTCTAAATTTTATTGGTGTCTCAGTCATTAAATTTCTCATTCTATGGACAGGTACTTCATAGTAAATGTAGTTGTAGTTTCTTAGAAACTCACTGACTGATACTGTTTGATAGCATGTTCATACAGATGTTTAGCTAGGTCTTATTTTATGCCATCAAGCACATTACACTTGTTTTAATTTTTTGCTTCAAAGGCTTAACATCTGGAAGGTACCAAATTAATAACTGGGAAAATGTCAGTCCAAGTATACAAAATACTTTTAATGATGATATTTGTATCTTTGTCATGCAGAAAAAAAACAAAACCCAATATACTGATAGTAATCAGATTCAAAGCAGCACAGCATGAATTTTCAAGGTTTTTTGACACCATTTTTAGCAGCATTTTGGATTCCATGTCTTC